TGATGATACAATACCCCCCACAACACAACCTTTCAAGATCCATGAGTCTACCCATGCCTATCACAAAAGGTGGTGTGTAATAGGAAGAGGGCCTGAAACAGAAGCCCTTGTATCAGAGGCCTAGTATGAGGCCTGGGCTAAAGTAGTGGTCAAAGCTTTGCTAATATAAAGCAAAGTCAGTCATGACTAGAGGCAGGGCTTGCTCACAGGACCTGGCAAGAACAGGGCTGATATTGCAGAAACACCAGGGGTGGCACCAGCGCACCAAGCGCGTGCCTGGGGCGGCAAGCCACGGGGGGCGGCTTGCTGGTCGCTGTGAGGGCGGCAGTCAGGCGGTTTTGGCGGCAATTCAGCGGCGGGTACGCCGAAGGCGCGGGACCGGCGGACCTCCCGCAGGCATGCCGCCGAATCCACGCTACCAGCGGACCTCCCGCAGGCATGCCGCCGAAGGCTGCCTGACTGCCGTGCTTGGGGTGGCAAAATACATAGAGCCGCCCCTGAGAAACACACATTCCTAAGTAGTGCTAGGCACAAGAGTACACACACAAACACATTCCAGAAGGATGGTGGCACCTAGCCCCATCAGAGGGTGGCACCTAGCCCTGTCAGAGGAGCAGTACTTACGAACAAGGAATTGGTGTATAAAGAGGTATCACAGAGGGAGTTTCTTTGGCCAGCTGATGGGGGAATGGAAAGTCCAGCCATTCACTAAGCTGCGTCCATTGTCACGGGCATACATGTGCTAGTCCAGGGGTTGGCAACGTTTGGCACGTGGCTCGACAGGGTAAGCACCCTGGCGGGCCGGGCCAGTTTATTTACCTGCTGACGTGGCAGGTTCGGCCAATCGCGGCCCCCACTGGCCGCGGTTCACTGTCCTGGGCCAATGGGGGCGGCGGGAAGCCGCGGCCAGCACATCCCTCGCCCGTGCCGCTTCTGGGGAGCTAGGACTGTGCTTCGTTGACAATAAACCTGACCAAGTGCCTTCATACCTTAACAGATCTTGTGGTCATTGGACGGTTTGCTCAAGGTCTGCTGTGCCAGCTACTTGCACAGAACTGGAACGGCACACAGAGGGAACACACGCAGCCAAACAGCTAACAACATGGTGTACTTCTTCCAATGCACTAAATGCCCCAATAACAACTATGTGGGTGAAACAAGACAATCACTCTTGAATGAACTTACACAGAAAAATGATAAAAGACAAAAATATATCTTATCGCCTGTGGGTGAACACTTTTCACAAAGTGATCACTCTATATCTGACCTCTCAGTCCTCATCCTCAAAGGAAACCTGCACACCTTCAAAGGATGAGCCTGGGAGCTTAAATTTACAACTTTGCTAGATACTAAAAATCATGAACTGAACAGAGTCACTGGATTTATGGCTTCTTACAATAATCTGTAAACCACTTAACCCCCCTCCCCAGCCTTTTCCCCCCTTTCCCCTCTCCCATGACTGGTGAGATGTTAATGGGTCACTTCATCTTGAATGGTCCCTTGAAATATGTTAACTACTTATGCTAAACAATCTGTTCTACCTTGTATATAGCTGTGACACTCTGAGTACATTTCCCAAACCTGAAGAAGAGCTCTATGTAGCTCAAAAGCTTGTCTCTGTCACCAACAGAAGTTGGTCCAATAAAAGGTATTACCTCACCCACCTTGTCTCTCTATACCACTGTAAGACCCCATTGCTATTATAAAAATAATCATGTTCAGACTTGGCTGAGGGACATTGTCATGGCCCACCCTTGTTATAACATGGGATGTTTTTTTTCCTGGGTGCACTGTGGAAAGCCATGTAAAGGATGGGTTCTCAATCTGAGGATCAGCACCACCACCCCTGGATCGCCAGAGGGGAGACCTGAAATATTTTTCTTTTTAACCTGGGGTCACAGTTTGGCAAAGGTTGAGATTCACTGATAGAAAGGACCCAGGGGAATGGAGAGCCTATCTTAGGAAAGGAGACTAAAAGAGCTTGGCATGTTTATCCTAGCAAATTGAAGGCTGAGAGGGGATATGATTACTATCTATAAATACATTGGGGGAGAGGGGTAAATACCAGGGAGCGAGAAGAGATATGTAAGCTAAAGGACACTGATGGCACTAGAACAAATGGATATAAACTGGCCATGAATAAATTCAGGGTGCAAATTAAAAGAAGGTTTCTAATCATCGGAAGAGTGAGGTTCTGGAAGAGCTTCCCAACAGGAGTAGTGGGGGCAAACAACCTAGCTAGTTTTAAGACTGAACTTGATAAATTAGTGAGCAGGATTATGTGACAGGGTTGCCTGCAATAGCAGAGGACTCAACATGATGACCCTGGAAGTCGCTTCCAGTTCTATGTCCTATGTCACTGTGCTTTAGCCTAAGGCTCTAACAGGATTAAAACATGGCTCCATAACATGAGTAAACTGTGCTTTTTTTCTGTCCCCACACTCAAAAAGAAACTATGTTATAAAATAGCTGGGCCACCACTGTGTTTCCAAATCATCTTTAAATGTGTTTATTTCTGGAATCTAGAGCAGCTTAAGTCATTCTTAAAAGGTAATTTTGTCTTTTTCATCTTTGCATCCACTTGCACATAAATCCCCCATTAGCTCGCTAGTTAAATAACAGTTTCCATGGCTTTCCTGAGTCTATATAATTACAGGAAGATTGCTAGTGACAGCATTACATTTATTTGTCAAACTACACCAGCCGTTCGTTGGTAAATGAAGTGTCTTTAAACTATACCTTGACAGTAGGTGTTACATGTGCTGGAATTAATGAAGACTTAACCAGCTGGCTCTTATTTCACTTTGTGCAGTTCCAGACAATGTGACATCACTGTCAGCAGCTCACAAGGAGCCCTCCGATTGTGCCCCTGTAACACTATTCTGTTACACAATATGGGAAAGGAGGAGCAGCCTCTCCTACCACTTCGTATAGAGAGGAGCAAGACAACTTAATAATTGATGGGAGCAGGCGTGATCGCCTACCTGGAAACCTGAGACAACCTAGAGGATGCTGCTACAACCAACTATTGCCCTTCCTGGAAGGAACAGGCAGTTGGCCAAAATGATTCTCAGTGCAGGAATTAAATGATTTTTCTTCAGGGGTCTAAAGAGCAAGAGTATTTGCTTCCCCTACCTGCTCTAATCAGGACATCTAACGGGTCAAACATTATTACCTTGTCACTAACTGACTGTGGAAAATGCAATATATTTTACATTATTTACATTAAAAGGAAAATAATTAAGAGCCAAATCCTCGTGCCAGCCTGATAAGCTGGGCAAGTGCTGGGCACAGGAGTATGGTGGGGTGGAGCAGGAGGAATCCTCCTGCCAGGCCATGGAGCTGTGCTGCTGAGGCTCTGCTCCCTTCATGTGCCTCAGCCACAGACTGGAAGACCAGAGGATGCCCATTCCCTGTGTTTCCTCCCAAAACATTGCCCCTAGCCTCTTGTCCAGGAGAACCGTACCAATTATGCTACCAGGGAACCCTTCCTAGCTGTGGAGGCTGGGGCGAGATTTGCTCCAAGTGAATCACATTATAGGCCAGTCAGCCTAATTTTGATACCTGGAAAGATACTGGAATACATTAACAAAAAATAAATTGGTAAGCACCTAGAGTCAAATAGGGAACAGCTAGCATGGATTTATCAAGAACAAGTCATGCCAAACCAACCTAATATCCTCCTTTGACAAGGTTGCTGGCCTTGTGGATGAGGGGAAGCAGTAGATGTGATATATTTTGATTTTAGTAAGGCTTTTGACAGTCCCACTTGACATTCTCATAAGCAAACTAGGGAAACGTGGTCTTGATGAATTTACTATGAGTCTATGCTGGAGGAAGGCGCTGGAGTAACAGAGCTGGTGAAGAAGAATTTTCTCTTTATCCACAGAACTGCACACTGCAGTATGGGCAGTGGCAGGTTATGTTTCCCCACAGTGCCTGACAACATCGCTCATCCTTCACCTCGTGTTGGATCAGCAAGATGCTGAGCACTCTGGCCTCAATCCAGCAAAGCACTTGGGCATGTGCTTAGCAAGTGCATTGATAGATCAAGGCCAGAGTGCTCAGAACCTCACAGGACTGAATCCCTGGGGAGCTTGCTGATCTAGGTGTGAATTTTCCACGGTCCATTCACTTGTTGGCCATTACTGAGACCTCCACCAAGGGCATCAACTAGAAGCAATGATGATGATGGGCTTTTTGTGGTATGGTCAGAAGTGCCAATCCTCAGGGGGGAAAAAACCCATTTCTTATGAATGTTTGTAAACAGTGACTAAAAAAAGAAACAGACATGGCTGAACCAGACAGCCCTCAGAATCACCATGAGCTCTGGCTGCTGTGCTTGGTTGTAGTCAGCCAACTCTGCTTTGAAGTTTAGTAAATTATTTCCATCTATGCAATGGCTTGTCTCTCCAAATACCATTGGGAAAGTGGGTTAATTTGTAAGCTCATTGGAGCGGGACCATCTTTTTGTTCTGCGTTTGTACAGTGCCTAGGATAATGGAGTCCTGGTCCATCACTGGGGCTCTTAGGTGCTACCACAATATAAATAAGTATTAATAATAATTGTTTGCTATTTAGTTTGCTGTGTATATTTTGCAGTAAAAATTTAAAAGTTAAAAGACAGATTCCCCCAAGTCCATTTATTGCATGTTTTTGGCACAGAGATCTTCTTATTGGTCTTAGTCCCCTTTCTAGTCTGGTCATCTCACAATTCTGGGGCTAGCCTGAACAATGCCACACATAGCATGTATAGCAGACATGGTATGTTTTCTGATGTTTCAGTCCATCAATAAATAAAACCCTTCTGACAGTCGCGTCCTTAGTTTTAGGTCAGTTCACATTTCAGTTATTTTACAGCCTACATTTCCCAACACCTCATTGTGAACCTAAACCAGGCTATGCATAAGATTACCTTCTTTCCAGGAATGTAGAAGCCATTTTCTTGCAGTTGATAGCTGTATCTCTCTAGTACAGTAATGTGTTTTCTTTTTTAACAGGATTGTACCTTCTTCACTCGGAAAGAAATCCTTCGGTAAGCAGATCATACTTCATTCTTCCTTCATAATTTTTATGGAAAGGGCCACATTATGCTCTCCTCACTCATGTGAGGAAACTCAGTAAAGCCAATGGGACTATTCATGTGAGTAAATGAGCACAGGATTTGGTCCTAAAATGTACCTATAATATACAAATGTACGAACTCACCAATACCCTATTAGCTAGGGAATCAGTTCTGCTACTGTTCTTATTGTCATACTGTTACATTGGCAAGACAGGTGATAGCAAAAAACAACTCTTGTAGTACCATGGCAGGGAAACTCAGGGAAGTCATTCTTCTGTTGAATGCCTGCCAACTTGTACTGTCATCTAAAATAACTTTGTAATTGCTAAACCTGCTCAGTTTAACCACTAAGGGCCCCATCCTTTCTTGTTAATGAAAGTTGTGCTATAGACTTTAGCGTGAGCAGAACAGGTGGGCCTGAAATTGCAGTAACATTAAAATGTGTTGGCTTATGGACAGCTTAATTTTCTTGAAGATACTTGGGCCTAATCCCATCCTTCTGAAGCGGGCAAAAATCTCATTGACTTCAGTGGAGGTGTTTTGCCTGCATCAGTAGTGCAGGATTGAGCCATACTGCGATCATCTGTGAGAAATGGCAGGTAAAAGGTTTTTGTCTTTGCAAATGTTAGGAGCTGTGTTGAGTTCATGAATAAATGTGTTCTGTATGGAAAACATTCTTTGCCTTTGTCTTGTGTCTGTAAAACTCCATGAGTCAAATGTTCAATGAGTTCTGTCCACAAAAGACTAAATGGCTCCATGATGAGTACACACTTATTGGGAAAGTGGAGGTGTTTTAGCCAATAACTTGGATTATCTCTCTCTGTGCACAGAGGAAAGGATGCAGTCCTGCTCTGGGCTTCCTCAAAGCTACTGAGAGATGCATCCACTTATGCTGGGGCTGAATGTGTCCCAGGTCTCTACTGTCTGTAATTTATTATCTAAAATACTGCAGGGTTGTGGGAGAGCATTTCTGTGATGTGAATTGGCTAGATTGTGCTAGCTCTGAGCATGTGTGCAAGGGTGGGAGTGGATGCAAGGGCCAGACAAACCCAGTCCCTGAACACAAGGTGTGAAAAGCTGTTCCAAGCTAGCACCAAGACAGGCACTAACTTCTTCAAATGTAGCTGCAACAGGTGTAGCAGCTGCTACTCTCTCACCTTAGGCCCCCAGACATTGAACCTTTCTCAGGTGCATATTGTGATGGACTCGGTCACAGAGACCTCCTTGGGACTGTCACCGGATGTGCTGAAACTACCTCTGAACCCATTTTCCCTGCCAGGTTGGGACTCCAGAACCCTGTCTTGTTGAGCCAGACACTCTACTCCGCTGCAACACAGACCCAGGATCTGAACCATGCCCCCAAAGCTGCAGACTTTAACCAAAACTGCTCAGCAGGTTTCCTATCTACAGCACCCAGACACCCAGCTCCCAATGGGATCCAAACCCAAATAAATTTGCTTTACTCTGTATAAAGCTTATACAGGGTAAACTCATAAATTGTCCACCCTCTATAATACTGATAGAGAGATATGCACAGCTGTTTGCTCCCCCAGGTATTAATCACTTACTCTGGGTTAATTAATAAACAAAAGTGATTTTATTAAGTATAAAAAGTAGGATTTAAGTGGTTTCAAGTAATAACAGACAGAACAAAGTAAGTTACCAAGCAAAATAAAACAAAACACGCAAATCTAAGCCTAATACATTTAAGAAACTGAATACAGGTAAATCTCACCCTCAGAGATGTTCCAATAAACTTCTTTCACAGACTAGACTCCTTCTAAATCTGGGCCCAATCCTTGTTAGTTCCAGCTCAGGTGGTAACTAGGGGATTTCTCATGACTACAGCTCCCTTTGTTCTGTTCCACCCCCTTTTATATCTTTGGCACAAGGCGGGAATCCTTTGTCTCTCTCTGGGTTCCCATCCTTCCTTCTAAATGGAAAAGCACCAGGTTTAAGATGGATTCCAGTGTCATGTGACATGTTCACATGTCCTGTGAGACTTCATTACTCACTGGCTGGCACCCACATATACAGAAAGGCTTACAAGTAAACAGAGCCATTTACAACCAATTGTCCTGGTCGATGGGAGCCATCAAGATTCTAAACCACCATTAATGGCCCACACGTTGCATAATTACAATAGGATTTCAGAGTAATACTTCATATTTCTAGCTTCAGATACAAGAATGATACATTCATACAAATAGGATGAACACACTCAGTAGATTATAAGATTTGTAATGATACCTTACAGGAGACCTTTTGCATAAAGCATATTCCAGTTACATTATATTCACACTCATAAGCATATTTCCATGAACATATGGAGTGCAACGTAACACATGCCCCCAGAAGTTCCTGCTGGGATTAGGCAGCTCTGCACCATCCCACAGGTTGTGATTTGTTGTAGGCCTGGCTGTAACTTCTTTGAGAAAGCGTTCCTCCCCAGTTGTGTATCCCCAGGAACGATATGTTATCATTACAGCTGGAAAGACATGTCATTTCTGTGTTCAGTGTACCCTACAGAAAGCCATGCAGATAAAATAAAAATGAATGATAATTATATGTCCAGTCAAGGCTGCAGGACTCTCAGTTCTGCTGAAGAACAGCAACTTAGACAATAACAGAATTTGTCACAATTGGTACAGAGGAGTGAAGTGAGCACCAAACTAATGGACAAATTGTAATGTAACTTTTAGAAATTGTTCAGTGATATTCCTGGGAGTTTGCTATTGGGAGAAAGCATATAGCTTCCTGTGAAAATTCAGCCTATTTATGCAGACATGGCAGCAGTGTATTCATCAAGAGCTCTGTAAAAATCAACTGATGTTGCACTCCTATTGCACAGGTTAATTTGATTCTCATATGCACACACACACACACACTTTTATACACATCTCTAAAATGAA